GAAGATAAATTTTGATACTCGTTTTTCAGATTTTGATGTCATTGCGAATGAAATTAAGCTTTTTCAAAATCCTTTTGATTCTGACATTGAAACCCTGGCTCCGGAAGTCCAAATGGAAATTATTGATTTACGGTGCAGTGATATGCTTAAGAACAAATATCAAAATTCATCTTTGTTGGAATTTTATAAGAGTCTTCCACTGGAACAATTTGATAATTTGCATAAATTTTCTCGTGGGTTGTTTTCTGTTTTTGGTACTACTTACTTGTGAGTTAAGTTTTCTTTGTCATCATTTCTGTCTTTAAGTTTTACCTTGCAAGTAAATAAAACCGAGTAATTATCATTTTGTGTTTTCTTCTTCAACTTATCAAAGCAATAGTAACAATAATTAGGTAATCATTGGCTGTCGCGGGCCAGATTGATGACAGTAAATCATTGCCTGTCGCGGGCCGGATTAATGACACTGGCGGGCCCTAGTTTGGAGACCCTTGACATAGATGATGAAAAGCCTGGGATCTACAACCTACCCTTGTAATACTCCGTGCTCCACATCCACAAAGTCGGATACATCATTTTCTAAGTTTACTCTGGCTTCCCTATCTTCAAAATATGATTTAAAAAACTTACTCTAGCTTTAATGTTCGAATAAAAACCAATTTTTAAACATGGTGCATAATGACTTTATCCTCCATTTATATTTTAGAAACAATATTGTTCATCAGAATCGAGGTGGGAAACAAAGATTGTTTTTAACAGTGAAGTTCAATAATAATAATGTTTATTCACTTAATATAGATAAAAGTTATACATAATTCTCAAATATAAAAAAGGGGTAAATAAATTATATTATCTGTATTTTTTTTGTATTAATTTCAGTGATATACAAAAAGTCCAAGGAACTGTAAAAGCATTTATTTCAACATATACAATACACAAATTTTCCAGTAATCATTCAGTCTTATGTGATAATAAAAAATAATCTTAGGTCCTAAGTTCAACATCCAGTAAAAATATACAAAATTCATTTTTCCTCTTTTCAATTGACTAGTCGGAATTAACAGTTTAGTCGAGATTACTGATTATGGCAAAAAATAATAATTTTTTGTGTATGAAAAAAATGCAAAGTACAAACATTTAATACGGAAACTGCTAGACATGAATCCACACCAATTCAACATTATTTTTGTTTAAACTCATTTCCAACAAAAAATAACCCTTAAAAATGTTAAGGCTCATCACTTTGATAAAAATATCCTTGCTCTACATTTCAAAGCGGCTGAAAGCTCAATGAACATTATCCATGGTCCAACTTTATATGCTCATACATACACTTCACATAAACTATTTTACAAAGAACACTGAAAAACTTGTATGAAACATTTTCATAAGGAACATTATTCCAAAGAGCTTTAGCCAGCAAAAATCCTAAATGTGTATCCGACTTCTTCAAAACGTATTAAAACAAGCTACATTTACCCAGCTTGATTCGTTAATTCTGCGAACTACTAACTGTAAGTACTTGAAAATCGTTTAGTATGATTTCAGACAGGAATCTCGGAAAAAGCGTAAACATTGGTACTCAGCAAGGCTGTACACTATCACCGATTTTTTTCGTCGCTATAAGAAAACTTCCTGATTCAGAATGATCTCAATCTTCATTATGAAAAGCAACAGTTTCTAAAGGCGTAATAATGACTGTGGAGTGGATCCGATCTACTATCTCATGTACCTAACGAGGATCTGCTGAAATTCTGGGGTTTGCTAGCGTTGCGACTTAAAACGAATGGTAACTATCATTATTTATGCCTTTACTTTGTGATGATACGAGTGGAAATCTTAGTAGAACGTCTTAAGCAAATATTAATAGAGCAGAATGTCGACATCTATTATTCTTCCTTCGCTTTGTTCTGTAGTTTAATTTCCTTCTCTTTCCTCCTCTGTTCCCTGAGTTGAGCCAACTTCAGGTTTTTCATTAGCTGTGTTGATTGATACATCCAACTACCCTAAAGTAAAATATAATTAATGCAAAGATAAAGTTTCATTCATTTTGTCATCGACAAATTTTTCGTAAAAAAAATCTACTTACCACCATCAGAATGCAATTCAACAGTATCGGCATGGAAAAAACCACTGATATAAACAGTCCATTGCTATCGAAAAGCTGTTGTCTGGAAAATATGTTCCAATTTGTCGAAGCCAGCTTGTTTATACTCTCTGAGAAATAGACTAATAACACTAGAAATAGAAACATGATGAATACATTTTCAAAACTACAGAATAGGGTTTTTCTTACGTAGGCAGAAGAATAAGAGAGCTTGGAAATTTCCATAATTTCTCGTCAAAATAGCCATCATGAAAATGGAAATATGGAAGGTGAACAGGGCTATGATCCACGGGTCCTTCCATTCAATCTGAAATTTAGTTAAAACAATAGGTATATATTGAAATCTGAGCCGAAATGATTGTTGAAATTGATTAATAAAATTAAAGTATTTTACATTCAATTAAGTACCTCATGTTGATGAAAATTCATAAGCTATTGCTACAATAGAAATGCTGTGCGTGAAATATGGGAATGCTTCCTCACTTAGGAGCTCAAAACTTGAAAGAAAAATACATTGTAATAATGATGCATACACAGAAATGGGTAAACTAAGATATACTAATGACGGTAAAAAAATATTAAGTAATAATTATCCACTTGAATTGCCATAGACAGTGAAAGTATCAACATGCCAGTATGTTGCCAATAAATCACATTTTCTGGTGAAATCAAACAATTTGATCAGTTTAGTATTGAGAAAAAAACATTGCATATCATTCCATACGTGGTACTTGTAATAACATGAATCTCCACTTATTTAATCATTGTTGAACTTACATGCATATTCATAGAAAGTAATATTGTTCTACGAAATTATGTTCAAAAAGTTTTTCAAAGGTTATAGTTCACTCCTAAAAGTGACAGAATATTGCCATCCAATGTATAATCAATTTCAAATCAACCGGTTCAATTTCAAAAGAAGAAAATACTCCACATTGAACTGATTAGGTGTGTTTTGGAAAAACATCTTGTTATTTATAGTTACTCACGTTCAATAAAAACCAAAGAAAACTGTCCAATTTGTTCACTTCAGCAAATTCTTGGTCGATCATTTTAATTTATTATATTCTGTTAGATCACTTGTTAAAGTTGGTCAATAATTATTCACTCTCTACTTGAAGCACTATTTATTTTTTGACTTCAGATTAAAAATAGAAAACAAATGCCAATGGCCACTTTGTACCACCGTAACAGTGTTGGCAACCTATAAAAAGGAAAGAAATCAAACTACATATAAGGTATTCGAACAAAATAAAAGTGTATCCTCAATGAGTTGTCTGCGCATGCACATGAAGGAAAATAAGCGTGCATTGGTATTTGGTTATAATATATCACAACAAAATTAACATTATCATTGAAGGTGAACATCTTTTATTTGTTTATTGGGAGTTTCGAATGACGAAGAATCTGATACCAGATTGAATTCAATTAATGAAAAATCAATTAGGATTGAGATAACTGCAGATTTTGTTGTAATATTCATTATTCTAACCAAACACCGGCGAAATTAGCGCCCTAGTGTTTAGTCTTATTTTCTTATTTCTGTGAAATCAGTGGTGGATTTCATTTCAAATAACTAGCAAAATCAAAATAACGGATTTCCTAAATTTGATGATATCAATGACTTCATAATAAGAACTGGCCATTGAAGAAGGAAAACTGACTCCAATAACTAAAAACAGATGGAAAGATTTATGTATTGGCATTTACGTCACTTATAAGCTTAACGTTCCATGTTTCACGTGTTGCATATTTTCATTGAGAAAATTTTGAGATATCATTTGTTTACTTGTCATTTGCTGTGACGCAGTGGCCAAGACCTTGTGTGATCCGCATATGAAGTATATATAAAAGTGACGTCACGGTCAGTACATATTATCATGTCTATGGATGATATACAAACGTCAAAGGGAAGTTTTCTTTTTGCCGACCGAACTGTACAAATTTGATTTGTCAATTTCTTTTACTGAGAAAGTGATTGACACTATCGAATACTAGATGGCGCTGTTGGATTGAAAGTATGCAACTCTATATACTTCTGGTGGAAATTTGAAACATCTACTTTTTACTTTCACCAAGTGCAAGTTATTAGTAAAAATGTTAAGAAGGAATTTTGATTTGCTTCAAAATTATGAACATTGAAAATTTATCAAATCCAAGTTCAGACATCAAGAGGAAGAACTGGTTTTGTATCAGGATAACAGAAACTCGAGGAGATCTTTTTTATTCAATTCAGAAAGAAAAATTGCTTTTTAAACTTCGAACTTTCAAAATATGAGATTCACTCGTTTTGTATCAGGATAACAGAAACGCGAGGAGATCTTTTTTATTCATCAAAGGTAAAATATATACTTTTATTTTTTTTCTGCTTCCACTTCCCTTTTTATCTCGTTCATATTAAGAGGCGCCAAATTAGGCAACTTTCTTGAAACGAACGATCTCTTTTTCACTGAACTGAGGGTACCTCTGAAGGATATCATTTTCTGACAATTTTTATATTTCTGTGAAATCAGTAGTGGAATTCATTTCAAATAACTAGCAAAATCAAAATAACGGATTTCCTTTATTTGATGATATCAATGACTTTATAATAAGAACTGGCCATTGAGAGGGAAAATTTACTCCAACAACTAAAAAAAGATGGAAAGATTCATGTCTTGGCATTTACGTCAATTATAAGCTTAACGTTCGATGTTTTACGTGTTGCATATTTCCATTGTGAAAATTTTGGGTTATCATTTGTTACTTGATGCTGTGACGCAGTGGCCAAGACCTTGTGTGATCCGCATGTGGAATTTATGTAAAAGTGACTTACGGTCAGTCCATATTATCATGTCTATGGATGATATACAAACGTCAAAGGGAAGTTATCTTTTTTGCCGACCGAACTGTAAGAATTTGATTTGTAAATTTCTTTTACAGAGAAGGTGATTGACACTATTAGGTTGACTATCGAATACTAGATGGCGCTGTTAGATTGAAAGTATGCAACTCTATATACTTCTGATGGAAATTTGAAACATCTACTTTTGTCTTTCACCCAAGTGCAAGTTATTGGTAAAAATATTTAGAAGGAATTTTGATTTGCTTCAAAATTATGAACATTGAAAATTTATCAAATCCAAGTTCTTACATCTCCTCACTTTGCAACTCTCCTGATGGATAATTAATATGTTTCATTATCATGGGTTCATCTGGGTACCAGAAGTCCAAACTTAAAGTACGAATGAATGATAAAAATAGTTCATGAATTATCATTTTCGATATCTGATTGTCAAGAGGACAGACTGGTTTTGTATCAGGATAACAGAAACGCGAGGAGATATTTTTTTATTCAATTCAGAAAGAAAAGTTGCTTTCTAAACTTCGAACTTTCAAAATATGAGATTCACTGGTTTTGTATCAGGATAACAGAAACAGGAGGAGATCTTTTTTATTCAATTCAGAAAGAAAAATTGCTTTTTAAACTTCGAACTTTCAAAATATGAGATTCACTCGTTTTGTATCAGGATAACAGAAACGCGAGGAGATCTTTTTTATTCAATTCAGAAAGNCCTTATAAGGATACATGTACAGTTTTTATATAAAAAAATATATTTTGTATATACTCTCTCTTCGAAATATTAAAAAAATATATTCCATCTTTGATGCATGATTCACAATTAAAGAAAATAAAATCATTCATCTATAATGCTTCTATCTATATGCTTTAGTCAGTTCAATGAACTAAAACATACATACAAGGTTATAAAGGGCTTACAGTTGAAAAATGGAAGATTATCTCTCAGGCTTCTTAATACTAGATAAATAAATATATAATACAAACGGGGCTATTTGTAATGCCCACTTTTTGGTAGTATAGCACTATTATTGTTTTAAAACTGTGTCAGTACAACTTTTTTAGCTCAATTGAAAATTAATTGATTCTGTCAATAAATTCAAATTAATTTATACATAATTCTGAATAAAAAGTAGGTATACATTACAAATTACCAGAATTTACAGCCATTCTGTGAAAAATTACTTCAGAAACAACCAGAACATTGAATACTCAATAAATTATTTAAATTTCATGTAATTTCGTCTCATACTCCTGTATTAATTCGTCCACAGATGGTCTAGATTTAACATTATATTGCAGACATTTCTTAATAGTATCCAAGATTCTCGGAGGCACCCAAGGTGCATCTGGATACTCGATTGTGTGATTCGGGTTCAAAATATATGCTAGTTTACACCACAAATTGACCAGGTGGTTGAAAGGTGTCCTCCTATATACTAGTTGGTACAAAATACAACCTAAAGACCAAACGTCGGACTTATAGTGCAGCTTATACTTAGCTTTGCCAAAACTAGGGCTCGACGAATTTGTAGAAGTATCACTGTTCAAAGCTTCGGGGCTGATATAGTTGCACGAGCCTTCAGGGTTGGTTTTAATAACACTCGTCTCATCATTTTGCACGGAAGAGGCTATTCCAAAGTCGATAAGCTTCAGTCCACCGTCGGCCTTGATGAAATTTGAAGGTTTCAAGTCGGAATGTATCACTCCATGCAAGTGTATCTGTCTGACCGCGTGGAGCATGTCCATCCAATAGAAGAGGAGCATGTAAATCGGGATGTGGGCACTTTGAGAGGCCAGTTTCTTCAGAATGGTTGACAAATCGTCTCCGCCTTTCTCAAGAACCATGTACAGCTTATTTTCTGATCTCAGAATTTCGTGGTCAAACATTTTAATTATTTTATCACAGTTCTGAAGTTGCTTCAGCAGATTAACTTCGTTTATGTAACCACTTGCTGAAGAGGAGTTTTGTAGAGAAACACATTTTATCGCTACAAGCTTTTTGCTTACCAGATTGTAGCACTGAAATACCTCGGAGCTGCCCCCTTTTCCTAACAAGCTGAGGATCAGGTATTCTACCTGATTGACCACAATCTTATTGAAAGTTTCGTCCTTAGGAGTAGTAGTCCTCGGCATTGAATACAAGACATTCTCACCTACGTTTTCTTTCTTGATGGCTTTACTTCCAAATGGAGTAACACGTTTAATTTGATAACTCTGCACAGGTTGTTTGGGGGTTACGAACAACGGTTTGTTGGAATTGCTTGACTGACGTTTGGCTGGTAAGGAATTCTGTACCTTAGGTGTAACAAAACTGTCGAATTTGGGTGCTTGTGCTGTATGACATATGGGTGGCTTGTTAACAGTAGGAGTTGTGAAAGCTGTGTCTCTTTTCCTCACAGGAGTTGATAAAGATAACGACGAAAAGTCCAAATCAAAACTATCGTTAGTTGGGTTTCTACAAGGGTTCAATTCAGTTTTCCTCTCGGGTTCCTTGCACAAACTTTCAACATGAGCAGCACTGGACTCACAGTGACTCTCACTGAGACTTGATGCCAATTCAGCTTCTCGAATTTCAATGGAGTTCGATATATCTCTGAGGGTGTTTTCTGACGATTCGTTCTCTGTCGTAAATTCGTTATCATCAAAGGTAAAGTTTATACTTTTATTTTTTTCTGCTTCCACTTCCCGTTTTATCTCGTTAAGATTAAGGGGCGCCAAATTAAGCAACTTTCTTGAAACGAACGGTCGCTTTTTCACTGAACTGAGGGTACTTCTCTGAGGGATATCATTTTCTGGCGATTTTCTTATTTCTGTGAAATCAGTAGTGGAATTCATTTCAAATAACTAGCAAAATCAAAATAACGGATTTCCTTCATTTGATGATATCAGTGACTTCTAAAACGCCGTCTTTTCAGGAGTTTGTTCAATCTTGTGGACAGGAGAAAGTCGCAGGGGGCAAATCTGGTAAATACGGTGGCCAAGGCACGCAAAACACTAACTTTTATGCCTCTCATCAGCAAACTAAAACGCTAAACAGCTGCAAGTGTGAACATAAGTTCGAGACGAGTGTACCAACATGACAAATAAAATGTTGATCGAATGTCCGTAGCCTGCGAAGTTTAAACATTCTAGGTTTTTGGACAGACCTTGTACATTAGAATTTCCCTCGGCAAGGTGGTGCTGTAGGTTTTTTGAAGGTTTTTCTTGAATTTTTTACATCCACTGTTTCGTTTTCATTGTTATTTTTACAATATTCCCAATTAATTAACATTATTCAAATATCATGTGTGAATCTCCACTGCAATCAATTTATCCACAAAAACGTTATTTTCCAATCATGACAAATAAGACAAATAGTAATATTCCACCAAATTTGAGAGAACTAAGATTATAGAAAGAAACAGAATCCTTGAAATCTGCATTTCATTATTACGAGTGTGTATACTCCAGTCCCTCTGTTATGCAATCAAGAATTGAAGCAGATTATTTATATTTCTATGATCAATCATCTTTTTCTAACGATTGACAAGAATATGATTGAATGTTTCTTTCTAATTATAATCGAGTATTGAGATAAAACGTGGTGACCTCATTACTAGCAACAGTCTTCTCGTTGAACTTTATAACCAATGAAACTCAAAATATGGTTTATTTCTTCCAGAAATTCTACAGCTGGGCATGTTAAGACAGGCGTACACATCAAGTTATCCAAAACCAGCGTGATTCAAATGGATGAGAACTGTTTCGAAAGGAAATTCAAAGAAGATGAAAAGCAACATTTTCAATCGATTTGTAGTAATGACAAAAAACGGTTAGCACTGACGATCTGGAGAAAGTCTGTTGAAAATAGACATGTTCATGAATCTGGCATAATCGAAATAAGCCAGTTATCATTTAAACGTTGTAAATAACTAGATCTCTTTATTCAAGTATATTCTATACATTTTGTTATTGTTAATAATATTTGTGTTATTTTAGCATCTTCTCTATCATTGCCATATCATGACAATAATTTTGTTCTTTACTCATGTTTTCATTCCTTTCCATTTGTGCACTTACTTTTCAAATACATCACTGTCTTTTTAAAATTTTATATTATTCATTTTCATATTCCGACATTCCAAACCTTTTA